ATTCACAACTCATGTGATTCTTATATTTTTGTTTCTCAGCCTCTGAATCATCCACTGCTGTTCTCAGCATAAGTACAGCATTTCTGTTTTATTGTAAACTATTTTTATTTGTGGTGTAAGGAATACTCACTTTTGATTTTTCTTTTTTGGAGCATAAATATAATAGTTGTTTTTGTCAGATACTTGTTACCATTTAATATTGTAGGGGTGGCTATGTCAGAAATATTAATCCCATCTCAGCTTATATTATAGAATGGTTTCTGATATTTAACCACTGTTTTAGAAAACTAGACTTGGTTTTTACTTTTCATACATTAGCATATGCAACTGTAAGTCAGGCGTCCAGGCTCTGTAATCAGTGCTAAGTCTTATGAAAAGGACTGGGACACTGTGGTGGACACCTCTAAGCTGAATGAAATGGGCATGAATCATGGTATGATACTGAAAATGTATTATCCACTCAGACAGTGGCACATTGCTCTTTTCCCTGTATATCATGAGCTAATACAAACAGTAATGCATCTTGTTTTACTTGGGATAGCCTGGGCTAGCACAGCGAGTAGTTCATGTAATTGTAGTGATATCCCAGTCCATAACTTTTTTTTCTGATGATATTTATGTGATGGTGGTCTCTCATATTTTTGAAACATTTGGAAGTATCTCTATGTTTCTTTTAACATACGAGTATTAATAAGTATTTTGATGATGCCTTGCATTCTGGTGATGAGACCTGAAACTATACTTTATTAATTTTTATGCATGTTTCACTACTGATTTAGAATTCACATTAATTAATGAGCACCACTGTATTTTTTTTTAGTGCCAGAGCCAAAATTTGGCAGACACAGGAAGTCAGAGACCTCTGCCTCGATCTACAACAGCAAGTGGTTCCCTGGGGACATCAGCTTCTGCTCGCAATGTGTCTGTTGCATCATTGAGTCCACAATCCAGCAGTGATCTGCCAAATGTAGAACGAGTTGGTCATGACAGTAGCAGTAGCTTGAACTCTCGTGTTTCTGGTGGAGTTCGTCTTCCCATTACTGGAGCACACCCTTGTCGAACTAACAACTGCAAGTTTTTTGGAAGTGCAGAATCTGACTATTACTGTTCAAAGTGTTTCAAGGAGCAAATGCAGAGTGGTGTTAAAAGCCTTAAGGTTCTAGAAATGAAAAGATAGTGAGATTTTATTGTTCACATATAGGAGGCGTGAAATGTAGATAAAGAGATAAGTTGGGGTAGATTCACTTGTAAAGCATTTGTGGATAATGGAAACATTGCAGTAAATTCATTTTCACTTCTATCATAATATAAATTTTATTAATTAAATTCATAATATATTATTTGTAAAACTATTGTAAATATAAATAGAACTTCAGAAAATAAGCTTAAAATCACTGATATGTATGTGCATCGAATTGCTGGGCTACTACTCATGTGTAATGATTAAAAAAATGCATAACAATGCTTAAAAATATTTGCAACTAACGTTGTGCTTCCCTCCCATATGTTTAGGGTGTTTACTTCCTTAATGGTTGGGATCAGGTCCATATATAACTAATATCAAGCAATATACCAACCGACATGAACAATGGCGGCCAAGTTTTGGACACTTCTCTGCGTTACTGTCATATGCCCTTGTGAGCCAATCAGCTTCAGAGAGTTGGTTTCTTCACGCATAAAGCAGGGACCATGTGTATGAATATATATCTGCTCCATCCGCCTTAATTCATGTCAGTCAGTGTACTCTGTAATACTAGTATAAATATGTTTTAGTAACACCCCAAGAAAGTAGTGTCGAAATAATATTAATTATTTTCTTTTACTGTTCCACACACATGATTTAATTAATTTGTTTCTTTATCATCTTTTCATTATATTCATCATCTTTCATACATTTTAGTTGCATGAAATACAATAAATTGATTTAAGTACATTATGAGAGAAGTCATCATATAGTAAGAGTGACACTAACATCATTTAGTTCAGGGCTGTCCATCTAGTATCTTACAAGGTAAGTATGCAGTGTTTTTTGTCATTAGTCTTCAATTTTGATATAGTAACATTTAAAGAAAATAAATTTCACAGCTGCTTTGTTTACATTAATTTTCCAAATTATGATAGTGTACTGAAATCTTGAAAAGTCTTATGTGATGTGCTGTTTAATGATATAAATCAGTGATATTCAACCTTTTTTGTTCGCGTACCCCCAGATATAATTTCTCTTCAACTTTGTACCCCCAAAGTTGTTGGTGTATAATTCAATTTATACATAGTATATAATCTACATCTAAAATAAATTACATTACTGATTATTCAATGTTTATCATAAAATAATATATATATTTTTTAAATTTCACGTACCCCCTAAGAAGTCTTTCGCGTACCCCAGGTTAATACCACTGATATAAATAATTCTTGTTTCCACAGATTAGTGACAGTTAATCTGTTTTGTAACAGACTGTCATGTGTTGAGACACTTCATAAAGTATGTTGAAATTTGCACATTATTTGTTTTTGTTATTAGTACAGTAAACTATTTTATGTTGCAGTATTATATTGCTCAGGCATTTCACTGTAATTGAAAGACTGCATTGTCATATACTGCAAAATTTTACTTTAGTCAGAGTTACAAATACTGTTAACGTACAGTGCTTGTAAGGAAACAGCTTTTGGCACATGCATATTCTTTCATAGTGGTGTTGCCATCTTGATGACTTTATTCTGGCTCATATTACATAACAATTCAATTAATTTATTTAAGTGCTTGACAACAGCCAAATAAGGCCATTAACAGCCACGCACTAAACTAGAGTACAGGATAAAATATAATAAATAATTAAATTCATTTCAATAATAATAAAAGTAAAACATTACAAATACAAAAACAAACAAACAAATGAAACTAAATATATAAATGTACTATATTGAATAATATTTCACAAGTAAATGGGCTAAATACAATACCTAGGTAATATAATTCAATTCAATAATACTAAATAGAAACATTAAACAATAAAAAACAATAATAATAATAATTCAGTTCATTTATTGAATAATATTTCACAAGTAAATGGGCTAAATACAATACCTAGGTAATATAATTCAATTCAATAATACTAAATAGAAACATTAAACAATAAAAAACAATAATAATAATAATTCAGTTCATTTATTGAATAATATTTCACAAGTAAATGGGCTAAATACGATACCTAAGTAATATAATTCAATTCAATAATACTAAATAAAAACATTAAACAATAAAAAAACAGAAGAAACTTAAAAATTGTATACCACAAAATAAGATGCTGTGGTATTTAATTTTGATGAAAATAGTTATAATGTGAAATGAATTGTCTTTTTGGAAATCATAGTAAGAATGAAGCAGTGCTCACACACTTGAACGGGTCGTTCCCAGTATCCCCCAGTTAGAATGAAATACACTTCCAGTTATTGAAAGGAAACTCTTCGTCAGATTACAAATCAATGGAAGACTAGCAGTTGGACAGCTCTGATTTAGTTATAAACTACAGATCACAGTAGTTGCATGACCTTCAAGGCCGTGACTTAAAAATTGACAGAAATGAGATGCTTGAAATCTGCATTTGCAGATGTGTCTTTTCATGTGCACAGTTTTATAGTGTATGACTACACCTAACTAATATTATAAATATAAATAATAACTCTATTTATTAATACATAAATGACTGAATCATTTTTACCTTGACCATTCTAATATTGCATGACTGCCATTAATCCTGTTGATCCCTGTAGATTAATATGTGGTAGGAAAGATTTTATTTAGGAAGGTTTAGTGAAAGGAGAAACTTAAAGATGGTAATGTTACACTTACCATAATGAGCATATTTAAAACAACCACAAACTGAGTGTTTTAGTTGTAAATTAAGTTTAATATTTCAACATTACTGCCAAACATTATAACTTAATGGTAGTTTTTGTGGTGATAATATTATGAACACACACAGGGCAGATAATGTTTTGTCTGTCAGATCAAGCACTTCAACTTGAAAACCACTGGATGGAAATTGATTAATTTTGGTGTGGATGTTATGCCATTCAAAGCTACCCAAATATTGTATTTTTTTAATTTCCTGCTGTAAGTAATTACGTGTTGGACAGACAAGTGCATCATAACCCTATTTACCTTACAGTCCGACAACAGAAACTAGTAAGCCATTCAGACTAGCCATTTTAAGTTTGGTATTGAGTTAGATTATATAATGCATATTCTTCAGAAGTATTTTTCATATATCAGCTGTTATAAGTATGAACTTTGAGGTTTGTCCAACAAATTTAACAAGGCCTAAGCAAAATGTATACTTAAGTAACAAGATATTCTCCAGATAATAATAATAATGATTTGTAATGTGTTTAAAACTACAAGAAATATCAACTGTTTATGATCTCCTTCCTGTCTCATTCAGTCCTGTTTAACATCGTTAGATACATAACCTAAGTGATCATACAGTTGAAGTGTCTCCTCTGTTCCAGAACACTAGCTACATAAAGGAGTAAAGAAAGACAATAGAGGGTCACCAGTTTGAACACCAGCTGTAGTACGAAATGACATTTTAAAGCAG